GAGCGAGAGACAGAGAGAGTGTGTGTCTGTGTGCGTAACGCAATTCAGGCCCGTGTTTTTCGGGTAAAACACGTGTTACTTGGGATGTTTTTGGCTCTATCCAATATAAGGAGATAGGATATCAAGAAACTGAATTAGATGGTATTGATTCTCAAAAACGAAGAATGAGCTTTGGATCGATATTCACCATCCATCAAAATATTGCAGGTTTCTACCCCGCAGCAACATCAAATTGATTTCCGATGGGTAAGGACTCACAATGACATTATAATGATTCTAGGTGTATACTATGCCACAACCATACATCTAAACTTGGGAGGGCACTGATCCATAACAAAAAACACTGTTGGACGGTATTGGCACGCAACAACGAACGAAATGGGATGGCAATGGTTCTGTAGCTACAACAACTTGAATATGGATAGGTAACGACCCCCAATAGTATTGAATTGATATTGACGCGCCCTATCGAAAAATAAATTCGGATGGGCACAAGAAGACAAGGACTAATTAAAGTTGGATGGGTATCCGTGCATGACATAGAAAACGGAATTTGGATCGGTTGTGACCCTCAACACCAACTAGTTCTACGTCGATAGGAAGTGATCTAAAAAGAACAACAAACTATACAATAGTGATCCACAAGAAAGATAAATTATATTTGGACGACAATAAAACTGAATTTGAATGGGCATTAGCAGGTCATGGAATTTATCTCATGTCGAGCCACACCAACACGAGTACTAACAATTAGTATAGATGGGTATTGACCCATAACCAACAAAACATAAATTAGATTCGTGACGACAAAAATAAGTTAGTCAATTGAGACGGCTTCTGACCCACAATATCAAGACGTGAATGAGGGTTGGTATTGAGATCCGATATCACTAACTACAAACTGGAGAGGTATTGACCCATGATAACACAACTTGAGATTAGAAAGGTATCGAACCTCAACGCCTGAAATTCGATGGGTATTGACACACAAGAACAACAAATTGAAATTGGATGGGTATCGGTCCATAATAACATGAAACTGAATTTTGATACGTATCGAAACGCAACACAAACAAACTAAATTCAGATCGGTATTGACCCACAAGAACAACAGACTGAATTTACATGGGTATCGGCCCGCAATAGCGAACTGAACCCGGATGGTTATTGAGCATATCCGCCGACCCCCTTGCGGGGCGCCGCCAGTGATATCCCCAGAAGTTTTTCCTTCTGGCGGGAGGTTCTGCTTTTGCCACTGGCCTTCCCTATAGGTGGTATTATAAAAGTATTTAGAAGCTGCAAATGCATGCCCTCCACCACCTCCCGCCCTCACTGCCTTCACCGCCCTCACTACTACCCACACTTGGCTGGCCTTTCCTAGGTGTTTCGAGAGTATTTAAAGGCTGCCAATGCGTGCCCAGATCTCCCCCGCCCTCACTGCCCGCCCACACCCCCCCTCCACTACCCACACCTGGCTGGCCTTTCCGAGGTGTTTAGAATACATAAAGGATGCTGGGTGTTTTTTTTTGGTTTTGAAAGGCTGCCAATGCACGGTTACCTCCCTCCCGCCCTCACTGCCTTCGACGCCCTCACCACTACCCACACGTGGCTGGCCTTTTTTGGGTGTTTAGAGAGTATTCAGAGGCTGCCAATGCGTGCCCAATCTCACCCCCACCGCCCACCCCCCCCCTTCCACTACCCACACCTGGCTGGCCTCGGTGTTTTGCGAAGGGCTGCCAATGCATGGTCACCTCCCTCCCGCCCTCACCACTACCCACACTTGGCTGGCCTTTCCTAAGGTATGTAAAGAATATCTAGAGGCTGCCAATGCGTGCCCGCCCCACCGCCTCCCGCCCTCACTGCCTTCCACCGCCGCCCGCCCACACCCCCCCCCGAACACCAGGCCTTGTTGCGGGAGGTTCTGCTGTTGCCAATGCGTGCCCACACCCCCCGCCCCGCCCTCGCCCACCGCCCTCACCGCACTCACCACTACCCACACCTTGGCTGGCCTTTCCTAGTAGAAAAAGTGCTGCCAATGCTGCCCACACCTCCCCCCCTCACTCCTTCACTCCCTCACCACCGCGGAGTTTTGTCGAGCTTTTAAAGGATGTCAACGCATGCCCACACCCCCCGCCCTCACCGCCCCCACCCTCACCGCACCCACCGCCCACATCCCGCCCTGGCCTTCTTCCGCGCTCACCACCCTCGCGACTACCCACCGTTGGCTGGGTGTTTAGAGGGTACTTAGAGCGTGCCCGCCCTCACCACCTCCACGCCTTTCCGAGGTGTTTTTAGAGCATGCCCACACACCCCCGCCCTCACCGCTCCCACCGCCCACACTTTGCTTCTACCCACACCTGGCTGGCCTTTCCTAAGTGTTTTTAGAATATTTAAAGGCTGGTCACCACATCTGGCTGCATTTTCTCATGCTTAGAGAGTACAGAGAAGCTTCCACACCCCCCTTCCGCACCCACCGCCCACACCGCCCTCACCAGCACCCACATCTGGCTGCATACCAGCATGGAGAGTGTTTAGAGGCTTCCAATGCGTGCCCACCCCCCCGCCCCCCCCCCACCCCCCACCGCCCACACCGCCCACACCGCCCTCACCAGCACCCACATCTGGCTGCATTTTCTACGTGTTTAGAGAGTATTTAGAGGCTTCCGATGCGTGCCTACACCCGCGCCAGTCAGGGAACACTTTCATGCTGTCCACGACTGATCATGTAATCTGATGTCCAAGCTTTTTTGGCTGAAACTGTTGCAAGCCGGAAGTCTCCTGCTGCGTTGTTTCACTGTACGATATGTGATGCCGTGTCTTCTTGAGTTTAGGGCTTAGAGACTTTACGGGTGTGGGGGTTTGTGGATCCCGCAGGTGTGGCTGTTTTGGCTCGCGACTCAGGGTAGTTTTCGACTGAAGGCGGGGGTTTGGTAGCTCAAGGTTTCAGGGCATTTGGCTTTCGAGGGTTTGCCATTGTAGGTTTACATTGTGTGTTCATGTATACTAAAGTCCTTACACGTCATGCGTTTAGACGGAATTTTCATATTATCTTGCTTCGCAGCTTGAGGTTTATAGGGCACTTAAGCGATGTAAACGGGCCTGAAAAAATAGAATAGGTCTTTATTAACGTACCATAGTTATAGAAAAACGATTAGGAGATGTTGTTGTTCATAATTCAAGCTTCTACATCGAGTTGCTGTTCAATTAATGCACACTCCTACTCAGTATATATAAGTACTGTAAGGGGTACCCCGAAACCCAGTGTTTTGGGCTCTTTCACGATTCCAGACCTTTGAGGATGTCTGAGTGTTCGTGATATACGATATATTTATGTGAATAGTGAAAATCCAACACCACTAATCAACAAAATTAAAAGTTATGGGACAAGGCTGTTGCAACATCAAGCAATATTGTAAATTTGTTTTGAAGCTCATATCAATGATAACCTATTCTGTGCTGGTCAGTATTTTCTTCATATTTCCACCACAAGTATGTGTTATATATGTATCATTTGTTTACTACTTAAATGATACATGATGAGGGGGTATGTAATATTTGCCTGATCGTTTGCTGAACACTTCTACGACACCTGGTTAGTATGTTCAAAGCTTTCGTTTGAATCATTCAATATAGGGTTACATATGAAGCTGTTACGTAGTGGGCATTATTTAGTGAGCATTTTATCAGAGATGCAGTGAAATCTAGCCCAATGTTTGACTAGTATTGGCCTACGGATCACTATCTAGTATATACTGTGTGTATTTTGAATGTCGGAAGATATTGCCTGAAAGACTCGTCTGGTAGTTACTCTTCCTTCAAAATCGAACTACCATTATGAAACATGCTTAGTAATGATTAATTTGGCCGAGCATTTGTTATTAATGAACTATTCGACCAACATCTCATGCATATATATTTGGTGTTACGCATTTTTTAGATGATAGCTGACCACAAGCTAAAGGTAAGATGGATAGTTGTTAAGCCCCGCGCATGTGTCATTCTTCAATAATTATCGAACTGCCGT